TAGTAGATGTATCAAATCTATTAAATAAAAATAATATCTAAATGGTTAATGTGGAGGGTAATGATGCCCTATATATTACCCTAATTAATTTTCAGAAATATAGAGAATTCAGTTCTTATTTTAGCTAGTGATGGATAATAACTAATAACAGAGAACAAATATCATATAGGAATAGATGAGTGCGGGTTTTTGCGCTTATTCAGACCATTAAATTTAGATATTTGTGAGTTTTTCATTAGCAATTTATTACTTAATTTAGTTATTTTTATTGTGTAGGTGAAAACTCGAGTTTGAATTATGATTAGAAGGAATTTATGCGAGAAATGAGCAAAAATAACCAAAGACGCAAAAATTTCAAAGTTCGGGGACCAAGATTATCACATTTTGAAAGTTGAAGGACCTGACGTGCAATATCTTGAAAATTTGGCTGCAAAATGAACATCAAACTCAGTTTTTTTTAACAGAAATTTGGCGCCTAGGCGCCACTTCAAAAGGCTTAGGGACCAATTTGTTAATCTTTTCAAACGTTGGGGACTTGGGTTGCAATTTAGCCATTAGGTTTTAAAATAAAAATGGCAGCCACTGTTAGAAAGAATAGTAGGCTGCGTCTTCCTGGTTCTTTCCTTTCCTTTTCATTTTTCTCTTTTCCATTGTTTCTTCTTCTTTTTCCTTTGATCTTCTTTGGTATTTTGGGGGTAAGATTGGAGCATGGTGATGGTGAAATTGCTTGGAAAAGAATATCCATTGATATTGAAAAACTCTCAATCATTTCTCTCTTTATCAATAAGCTTTTCTTTTCTTTAATATATTTTCCATTAATGAGTTGTAAGAATTTGTTTGTTATTTTTGAGTATTTCATGGATAACTAAACATAATTTTCAATTATTTTGTGTTTTATAGTTCTCTTGATTGATGTGTTTAATCCATTGTTTTAAATGTTGATTTTATTCTTCTTGATTGTTTAGGTGTACAACTAAATGATTGAATTGTTTCAATAAATGCTATTTTGGGATATATAGTACGTAATAACTATTTATTCTAAAATATTGTAGCAATTACATTTCAATATATTGATAGGAAAATCATTCTCGTGGCAACGAAATATCCTTCAATCACATTTCACATATTTAATCAAAAACTACTTTGTTTATTTCAAAATTCAAATCTTTTCTTTAGGAGCCACGTATTATTTACAGAGTAAGCGTTTTTTTCCCAAAAATCGATCAATATTTTTCTAAAATATTGAAATTGTAATATCATGCTCTTCTAGAATAATTAATATTCGTTTAGAATATTAACAATGTTGTGCTATTTCAGTGGCACCAACAAATTATTATCTAGAAACATTAACTCTTTAGGAGTGTGTTCTCTAGCATAATATTAATATATGTAAGCTTTTTAAATATAGCCGGAAAATCTATCTAATAACTCTTAAATAGGTGAATATAAAAATCAGGGCATAAAAAATAAGGTCAATTAAGAATGACCTTTGCTTCAGAATTAGCTCATATACACGTATATATTTACACTATCAAATACATAATTACTCATATATTGGCTATAAGGAAATTATGATTGCATCAAATTTATAGGAGGAAAATTTATTTACCTTTACGACTAGAATCAGGGAGTTGAATTACGGAATTGAGCGAATTGTCGTGTTTGAATAATGACTATGAGATAACATCTTCAATGCATCATGTGAAAGAGACGAGTATTCATACGGTAATAGTGTTTTATGCATACAGGTGAATAAATATATGTTTATGCATTTATGCATATGTATATAAAAATTGGAAAAATCTATTTGTACAATCATTAGGGGATTGTAAAAATTACAATATCTCATATTAGGGTGGGGTCCGCTAATTACAATAGATGATTATGCTATTGAAAAATATTACATTCTAATTAATTCAATAGATGATGTTGTAATCAATTCTTCAACCTCCACGCTGAATTACTCTAATTATTACCACTAAGATTTCGCACAACATTAAGGCCCTGTCTGGGCACAATTAAAAGTGGATTAAAATGCATTTTCTGACCGTTGAAGCCATCAACGGTCCATTTTCCACAATCGCGGCTAGTATGGTTTGTGAGAGAAAGTCAACAAAAAGGGTATAATAATCAATTCTATGGAAAATGGTGAATCCCTCCCAGACGAAGCCTAAGCCCATGTTTGGCCCCATTTTTTCAGTCATTTTCAACACGCATTCTCACATAAAATAGTATTACACGTAAATCAATATTTTTTCTTTATTTTTTAGCCACGCATTCTCTAAAAAATTAGTATTTCAAAACTCATTTTTCTCCAAATTTTCATTAAAATGGAGCCTAAACAAGGGTGAAATTGAAGAATTCCAGTAGAGAATCCTTTGTTCAAGCAACATTCACCATACTTTGAAATGGTGTTAATCTGAAATGTAGATGAAAATCGAGGAGAAAGAGAAAGGAAGAAGGAAGAACAAAGTTGAAGAAACATTTCACCTAAGAGAATGAAAAAGTGTGCATCCGACGGGAAATCCTTGAAGAAGGTAAATTCTCTAATCTGTACTTGAGTTTTATTTTTTATTTTATTTTTTATGTGCAAATCTATCTATGTGCGGATGTAGTGTACCGGTATGCTTTTGAATTAGTGTTTTGTGACCTACATATGTTCTATTTTGTGACCCGCTTTTGTTTATATTTTTGACCCGTGTGTAATCCTATTGCAGTTAATGCTTATGTGTAAATGCCATAAAATGTGAAATGTAGAGTATGGATATGTCGTGTGTCACGTAAATGGAATTTTGCGATCTGATTTTGCTAATCTGTAACCTCCTTTTTTTTTTTTGAACTGTGACCTGATTTATATATTATTTGACCCTATCTTGATAAATGTGACTTGATTTTGTTATGTTATTGCCTAATTTTATTATTATTATATTTTTTTTCACCAAAATATAAGTGTTGGATATGCCATAGTCTATGAGTTATTTTGTATAAGATGTCACATTCGCAAAAGGATAGGTTTGTGGTCAGGCAATATTTAGGTTACAATCGCATGTTTATGTTTGTATAAAGATCACAGTTACATGTCTAATACTCTAATTTGTACAGAATTGGAAAATTAGATCAAAGAAAGCAATTAGTTCCCTGAAAAATTACAAAAAGCTCCATATCTTAGTCACATGTCTAATACTCCATGTCATTTTATGCTATCGAAACTAGGCTTGAAATATTGTCATTGTTGTTCACACAAACAAAATAGGCAGACTGGATGGAGAGAAAAAACAAAGGCAAGAGCCGTAGATGATTGATTTATTGAGAACTAAATATTTGAAAATTATTTTTCATTTCAGATTTAGTAGGTGGATATTGGTCGTTACGTACATGTACATGAATATTTTTACCTTTTTAAATCTACGAATTATGTTTGTTATGTTATTGCGGATGAGAGACCTTTTTACGATTGCTATTTAATTTAGGATTATTTTTGTTCAGATAAAACTTGTGATAATCTATTTGTGATAACATGTTATAATCAGACAACATGTCACATTCAATACATTATTGATCACAATCGATCACAATTAACATAGACTTCGTCACAAAAGGTCACGATTAACATACAAATGGTCACAAACCCTAAATGTAAATGGGTTTCGTTACAAACATTCACTATTAATAGATGTATGATTACATATATTACTGTTAACACAGATTTGATCACATATAATCACAGTTAAGAAAAACCTAGTCACATAGTGTTACAATGAAGAAAGACTTTGTCATAGACAGCCACTGATAACACAAACCTGATCACAAACAATAGCATCTTACATAGATATGGTTACAAACAATAACTTATATAGACTTGATCTCAAACAATCACCGTTAAACAGAACCTGGTCACATACAACATAAAATAGACAGTCAATAGGTCACAGTCATGCTGAGATTTTATGAAATACATAAACTTGTTCAAAAATTATGAATTTTTATATCACATGATGAATTCAAAATTTCATATCAGCAATAATCTCATTTGAATAATCTTACAATTTCACCTATCTAAAAATATACAGTTTGTGAATAAAACGAAAGAAGAATGAATGTATGATTACTTTATAGTGAAATTTAGAGATCTCTAATTATCGGATTCTGTGGCTACCGCGTTTCACCAACTCTAAGCGGCTAAAATAAAAAAAAATGCATTATGAATTCATCAGTTAAACGATGGTAATTGGAGAATAGATTCACCAATTTTTTGCCCAATTGATGATTTAGGAGAGATTGAAAATCGTGTTTAGGGAGAGAGAGGACACTAGGAAAATGTATCTAGAGTGGAAAATGTGATATGGAATAATTGATATTGTTAAATATCTGTTAAAAGATTATATATTATCCTTATTTAGATTATATTTTATCTATATATTATACGTATTAATATTACATTTATAAACACCCTCACATGGGGCACATGCGCACAATAAGCCCTCCATTTGAGAGGTGTAAACCTTGAGATGTACAACTATAATTTTTCATTATATAACACCTATTTTTGAATCTTTTTTCAAGTTTGTTAGTTGTGAAAAGCAGTATTCTAAAAAGCGTAAAACGAAGCGAGGCTTGAAGGTCAAACTTCAGACTAGGCGTAAAAAGAGGTTTTCTTATTTTAATATTATTTTAAAATTTTAAGTTAGTCTAAAAATTATTTAATAATTAAAGCGTAAAAAAAACATAAAAGCGTAAAAAAATGCGCCTAGGCATTTGGTCTACGACAAACATATGCTCTTTACGATAGAAAACCATATTCGAGGACTTGTACAGTGAGACTTCTGGGACGAGTAAAATCTACACACGATCACACAGGCAAAGCATCTTGAGAATGATTTAGCGAGAGTCAAAAGTTAACTTCAACCATACATGCATAGATATAGCACTGGTGTTTCTTACATAGTTTAGTATACTGATAGTTGCATAATAACAACCTTAAACAAACTCCTATGTTGAAATCAAATGTCTCCATCCCAAAGCTCCTCAACTGTCTTATATGGGCCATAGATTGATGTGTAATCTGTACCAACACAAGCTCTACCTTGTGGAATTTCACCTATCTTCTGCAAATCCTCGTTGCTTAATGACCAGTCGAATATCTCAAGATTTAGCTTCATCCTATCTTTGTTAAAACTCTTCACCACCACTCCAATCCCTTGTTCGTATGCCCATCTCAAAGTGACCTGCATTTGATTTACTTGAATCAAAGTGTATGCAGACGATAACAAACTAAACCAAGTTGCCAATAAATTTGAGGTAAACGCATTAAAATGTAAGTACACATGCACAACAAACTAATCCTTGTTTCCAATTGTTTTGAGGTCGGTGCATTGAAACATAAGCAGATAACAACAAACTAAGCCTAGCAAATAGGGGCCCGTGCCTTAAAATGAATGCACACGATAAAAATGGGATTGTCGCATTGAAATATAAGCAGAGTAAGAAAATAAAAGGAGGAGATTATTGTAGGATATGAACTAATTAATTTACCTGAGCAACACTCTTTCCTCTGGCCTTGGCTATTTGATTTAGAACTGGAGAATTCAGAACTCTATTGGTGCCATAAAAAGTCCCAGCTGCCCCTAAAGGCGAATAAGCAACTACGAGAATCCCCTTGGCGTTGCAGAGTTCTATCAGCTTCTTATGTTGCCAACACGGATTTACTTCCACCTTTCAAATTACAAAATTATGCTGAAAATCACTATAAATTACAGTACATAAAAATTCAGATTTCAAGTCTCATCATCATTCATTTATGAAGTTCTATGCATCACACTTCCGATGAATAATTGGTCCAACCTATACTTGAAAGGTGCATTGAAGGTATAAAAGTAAATAATAAACAATTCTCTTCCAAACAATTTAAACTTCAAGTGCATGTTTTGCAGACAGTACTCGACATCATGGTACAAAATACAAGTTTTTAACTTATTTTTCCTTTTCATTCCGATCAAGTCTCATTTAATACTACTTGCTAAATATGTTATAAATGAATTGATTCGATAGGATAATAACATTACAGGTTCCGTTTTTAAAAGACGATAACAAAAATGGTTCAACCAACACAACAATATATAGAATTTAACATAAAATTTAAGGCTGTTTCTGAACGTACTTCATTGACGGCCGGAGGAATATTAGCAGTCGATAAAATTTCTTCAAGCTTCTTCCAAGAGAAGTTGCTAACTCCTATTGATTTTGTCAGCCCAAGTCTCTGGCAATCTTCCATTGCTGCCCACACAGACTTAAAATCCATAGGAAGAAAGTCCTCTGGTTTTATAGGGTACTCAATAATTCCAGGCTTAGAACTCACTGGCCAGTGTATTAGATACAGATCAATATAGTCCATATTCAGATTTCTGCACCACAGTTACATCAATGAAAATTTAACAAGAATTTCATTGATGAAAATCGGAAAGAAATATTGCGGTGAGATAAAAATGATGTTAATATAATGAATTTTAAAGTCTTATCCAAGTGTGTAAACTTTTAGATGAGACAGTTGAACATAGTATTCAAACATTCGAGTCTTGGATTCTAAGTGGTGATGAACAGTGAATTTGATTTTCACATAGAAAGGGCTTGTTCAAGACATAAGCTGTTTGGCTTTTGCACATAATTAGGCCATTGTTTGAGCCTCAATTTTCAACACATTCTCGCTGTAAAATTTTTTACACGTAAATCCAAAAAAATTCCCTAAAGTTTAACTATACATTCTCGAAAAATTACCGTTACAAAATCTATTTTCATCTAAAAATAGTTTTTCCAACTTTTAACTGAGGTTGGTTATTTTTAAGTGCTACGTGCAGAGTGCTTAATTATAATTTTGCAAATTCACTACCGGCCACATTATTTCATACTATTAGGGTTGGGCAAAATGTCCGAACCGAACCGAATCGAACCGAATCGAGCGGATTTTTTAAAATGAAATACCCGAACGGGTATCCGAATCGAGAACCGAATAGTTTGGTTCGGTTCTCGGTTCTCGACCAAGAACCGAAAAATCGAATAAGAATCGAATTNAGTTGGTAAGTATTATCAATACTTTAAAATATTTTATCTTTATTACTTCTAATTTATATTTCATTTTTATGTAAACTTGAATGTTTGAAGCAAATAAATTATTGATATGAATTATCAAAGTTTTATTAGTAATATTTATTTTTTTCGTATTTGTATTTGACAACTTATTATTTATATGTTACTAAATTAGATTACGTTAATTTGTAAAAGTTAAGATTGAACTTGGTATTTATATCTACTTTCTGTTATTAATATTAGTATCTACTTTCAGGTGTATTTATGTAGTATTATTTTAAATATTAAAAATTTAATTATAGTACGGAACCGAACAGAACCGAACCGAACCCGAACAGTTCCAAAATTATATTTGGAACCGACGGTTCCATTTACTAAATACCCGAAAATTTCTGGAACTGAAAAAAACCGAACCGAACCGACCCACCCCGCCCCTACATATTATAACATTATAACGAGAGGAATATTAATTTTTTGGAGAATGTGTGATTAAAATGAAGGAAAAGTTTTTTGATTTACTTGTAATATTATCTTATCAAGAATGTGGGGTTGATACGAAGAAAGAAAAAAATGAATTATAATTTAACGGAAAATAACTTGTCAAGTTTCGGTTATAGATTGCCCGGTTAGCCCACAATATTGGCAGATTCACGAGCCGGTTAGGTCCACATAATAATTTAGAGGGGCTGGTTCATGGAACGCTGGGCCTACGTGTATATTCAACCCAACCATTCTGACACCCCTAAATAATAAGTTTTAAGTAGAATCATACACAAATTTACTTATAAGAGAAATTTTTGTACTTATCCAGTATCCACTAATGCTATTAACAGTATACGAATGTGAAGAAGTGTGAATTACTTGAGAGTTCTCTGAAGAGCAGGGCGCACAAATTGGGCATGGGCATCACTGCACCATAGCTTGGATGTAATGAAAAGCTCGTCCCGAGACTTAATTAAGCCGCGATTCAGTGCTTCAGCAATGGCTTCGCCGAGTGGCTGCTCTGAATTATACAACGCAGCAGTGTCGAAATGCCTATAACCGAGTTCAATCGCTTGAAGGACGGCATTTTTTGTGGTTTCTGAATCAACAGGAGGATCCGATGCTGTTCCGAATCCCAATACGGGCATTTTCAGACTACCCGATTTCAGATTGATAACGGGCATGGTTGATTGAACTGAACTGGTAGCCATGGCGAGGGTTTGTTTGGTTGAAGGAGACCGTATTATATAAGCTTTCTCAGAAGAGAATTGCGATTGGACTTTTTCTCTCTACGAGGGAGGGTCCCAACTAGAATAGTGAATTGCGGTGACATTTTGGAACTTATTTCTATGCTTAAACACGTGGCATATGTAGCAGTGTATTTCTCCTGTCGCTTTAAAAAAATAAAAAAAATTGTACCGACATCTCAATATTTCTAATTTGTAGTTCAGTTTGAGCAAATCAATTACAACTAATTGTAGAAAATTCATTTTTTTTCCACATAGCATGTTATATAAATAGATCTTAGAATGATATAAGGCTCAAAAATTGAGCAGAAAGTAACAATAAATAAAGAAGGCTAATTTAATTTTTTGAGGGAGGGTATCCGATGTACTCACAAAATTCAAGGAGTGTTTATGTTGTCGTATCTTGTGTAAAATTGTAACTTATCATAATTTTCAGTCAAGTATTAATTTTAACAATACATTCACATCTACAATTTACTCATTATTCACAAATTTCTTTAAACTCACCACTCCTTTTCCCATAAACATCCCTTTAGGTTTATAATATCTATGGACTCCTCTCTATTTTCAAAAATTTCGGAAGCTTTCCCTCTTGGTACAAATTTCACATATTGCCATTGTCTCCTCATGCTATATATAATGACATATTGGGGTAGGGATGATAAAAAAATTTAACAAACTCGAAACTTGTGGGGCCCTACCCCGAATGGGGCGAGGATTACCCGCTTAAACGGATATTCGGAGCGGGGGATGGGTAACAGGTGCCCTGCCCCATTTTTTTTTTTTTAAGAATTCAATATTTAAATGAAAATTTTCATTAGTTATAATAGAAAATGACAATTAAAAATATCTATAAAATACGACAAACAATAAAAGCTTTAGTTTACCAAATATTTTTAAATTATTTAACTTTTAAAAATAAATAAAGATTAAAATATATTATTGCCTCAATGGAGGCAATAAAATGAATTACCAAAAACTCGAAAAAAAAATTTAAACGAGGTAGTAAACGGGACAAGGACCCCACCCTGTCTCCCGCCCCTGCCCCCGCCCTGCCTTAAACGGGTAACGGGGCGAGGACGGAGACGAGGGAGAAGGAGGTTGTCCCACCTTTTCCCGCCCCGTTGCCATCCTAACATTTGTGTGTGTGTGTGTGTGGGTGGGGGGGACTAGCCATTTATATAATGACTCTATAGACTTTGAAATAGTCAAATCATGATACAACAACATACGAGGAACACTTTGTTTCTCTCTAACCACTTTGAATGCGAGGCATCATGATTTGAACGATTCAAAGTTTGATGTATCGTTATTTAAATGATTGATTCTATCAAGTATACATATAGAACAATCTCATTTTAAACTATCAAGTACACAATATTTAGATGATAATTCCAAGACAATAACTGATCAACTAACTCGGAGAGACGTCACCTCTCCTCTCTGCAAAAAAGCCACACCCATTCCAAAACCTTGAGGGGAATACTTATCATATTCATTTGTCTTCGTTCATAAAAAGACTTCAATCTAATTTGAATGTCGAAGTAAAATCGACCACCACCCCATTTCTAATGGCGATTCCTACAAACTGTCATTTGTTTTGCAAATTTATGACCATCAATCTTACGCAATATAATGTAGTAAAAGCTTATAGGAAAGATAAAAAATCTCATAAAGAATTTCAAAACTCTAGAAAATTTTATTTTTTTCAACCAATGCGACCTCAAAGGGCTTATAATACTTTATATAGCGAAAACCTTAAGAAAATTCAAAATAATTACATAATAATAAATAATTTTTTTTCCCAAAAATGGAAAAAAGAAATCGAGATAATGACAGATTTTGAAAATCCTAATCATGGGGATCGTCCCCCAACAAACGGAATTCAAATATAAATTTATTTGATTGAGATATACCAAAAACAAAAATTACCAAAAAAGGAAAAAACGCATAAACGAAGGCCTAAACGAAGGAATCTGAATTTCATTGGCCCGTTTTCATTCAAATTTGACTAAAATTTCACAAAAAAGGGGACAACCCCAAAATTTCTCCAAAAACCTGAAAATTGCTTATTTCTGTTTGCACCGGTCCCACTTTTCCATAGAGTAATTCCTTATGTATCACATCATTCCTCCTTGGTTGAAAACAATTCGTCCTCGAATTTGGAGGGGAAGCAATGTCTTTATCAGAATTATTCCCACGAAATGGCACAAGGTGCTTGACATTAAAAACGTCGGATGTGCAAATATGATTTGGCAGCTTCAAACTAAAATTTCGTCAAAAAACAGATAAATCCAAAATTTCTCCAAAAATCGGGAAGTTGCTTATTTCTGTTTGCGTCGATCCCATTTTACCATGAAGTCTAATTCCTTCATCACCACATCACAATGTTTAAGGGAAGTTGACCGATTAAATGTTTCACATCACAATGTTTAAGGGAAGTTGACCGATTAATTGTTTCATTATTAAATCCAATTATTAACAATTAACTGTTTCATTCATACGATCACAGACTTGGAATTTGTCAATGCATTGGTAAATTATTCTATTCTGCAATTCGAATATATCAAGAATAAACCACCCAGAAAAAAAGAAAAGAAAATCAAGATTCAGAATAGACGGCTGTTTGATTTTATCCATAAACGCCTAAAACCAAGACACACGCACAAAATTCGAAACAAAATTTTACATAAGCATCTGTAAATGTCAAATCCAAAGACCTAATCACAACGGACATAGAAAGAAAATTATGAATTACATATCTGTCAATTGTAAATCCACGAAGGAATTAGGGGAAATGGGGAATTACAAACCAAACCATGTAATTAGGGTTTCTATTTCTTCTGGAAGAGTTTATTCTTGTTGCATTTGATTTTGATCCAATTCACCCCGGACCTCCGAGGTAGGAATTGAAAGATCGCCGCCACCTTGGTTTTCTCCACTCCGGCAGAGGCAACATCCTTCGTCTTCTCCATTCCGGCGTCGAATTTCTCGCCCAATCTTTTCGACAGTTTCGGTGGCGGACCGCCTAGCCTTTTCGGCTGATTCGAGGTGTCTCCGCCCCACGAATTACCGTTCAATGCCATTAATTGATTAAAAAGATTTCAAGCCTCAAGAAAAGATCGATTTCTTCCTTGAGAGAGGAGGTTTCTGAAGAAAGCACCGGCTAATTTGGTTTTGATTATGCCCAACGCGTTTCCTCTTTGGAGTATTTTATATAGAAAATGAGTTGGCACAAATTTTCAGTTCGTACACACCTCAACTTATGACCAAAGAAAAATATATTTATGAATTTTATAAGATTATAAATTCTAATGAATTTTGTAAACGTGAATAGATTTTTATAATATTTATAAGAATTTTATTAAATATTGTGAAATTTCAAAACAAATATGTTATATGTATTTTTAATCTTGAAATTCATTCATATTTTTTAAAATTCATTTTTTAATTAAATCTTTAGAAACTTTGTTTTCCAAAATTAATGATTGTCAAATAGAGGCTTGAAAATATTTTTAAAATCCATTAAAATCTAAGTTGAGGACACCCCTCGTTCATCAAGCAAATAAATATCAACAAATTAAAACGCATCTCCATTTGAAAAAAAAAAAAATTGAACAAATTACAATCTATAAAATCAAGCAAAAAAAAGATGTTCAAGATGAAAATAAAATAATGTTCACCCCCGCACAAAAAAAATAAAATAAAATAAAATAAAAAATAAAAAAAATCCAAATTTTAATAGGAATGATAACTGAATTCCTCATTTCCTTTTTTAAAGGTTGAACCCCAAATTTGAGGGCCCCGCCTCGCCCCGTCCCTAGAATATTGTGGAGGAGGTAAATCGCGGAATGTCTCATCAAACCAGTGTACAAGAGCTACCATATTGGTGCCCACAAAGAGTTCAATTACATACATTGTAAGAGGTAGGAATCGAACCCTCACACTGCGGTTGTCAGCTCAACTGAGACTACCTCACTCATGTTCTTTGCACCATTGAGCTATACACCAAGGGCTCCTCGTTTCCTTTTTTTTTCTCACACTTCTAGTTGCAGAATGAGAATTGAAAATGCAATATTTTATTGTTATTTATTTTTATACTCCTTACTTGATTTAATTATTTTATTTTTGTCAAATGTATACATAAAATCCAAAGTAATATGAAGGGTCAGGCTAAAACTTCTAAATGATTGATATTTCTATTTATATGCTCGGAATCCACTAAAGTTTATTAAGGGGTGCTCTCCATTGAGATTATAATGAATTATAATGAAATTCATTAAAATTTAAGTGCCTTATAGAATTTGTTGAAATATGTTCAAATTCACAAAAAAAATTATCCTAGAAAAATTTGATTGGCACGAAAATTTTCTCCTAGAAAAAAAAATATTTTCCTTATTTTGTGGAAAACAAAAACTTATTATCCTCAAAGAAAATGTTTTTCTTAAAAACAAGGAAAATTAGGCATATTTTCGAAAGTTGAAAACTATTTTTAATGGAAGAAAATAGTAATCAAACACTCCAAAGTAAAAATTTGGGAGAAAAACTGACATTTTTCATGGAAAATAAATACAATCAAACACACCTTAAGATTTAAAATCTTTTAAAATCCATCAGAATTTTAGTTGAGTACAACCCCGTAAAATTGCTTCAACTAATGGAATTATTTAAATTCTACTAAATTTTGGAGACAACTAGATTTTAGTGAAATATTCTATTAAATCCAAGTTAATGACACCTATTAATGGAATATATCAAAATCTGAGTTGGGACACATAGATTTATAAATACTTTAAACATTCATTATACTTTGAATTGAAGAGTCAATGTTTAAAATTGAATATTGATCTTTAATATTTGATAATAATTTCAAAAATTTCAATGATGAGAACAATCTATCTCTCTACTAAATTACCGTGTGGTACTCGTTAAAAGATGTCTTACTTCAAAATTTTAAGAGTGAATCCAGTTTGTGAAATAAAATTTAGTTTGATAAAATTGAAAATGTAAGGGTCATGTAACGATTAACAGAGATTCCGAGGATTTACAACATCGAGGACTCATTATGTAATTATATTGAATATTGACTGCTTATATATTATTTAAATAATAGATTGATGGAACAATTTTATATTTGCAATATTGCTTCTTCTTTTTTGGTAATTGAAAAGCTAAATAACTTCATTTATTCAAAACACCACGAATCCAAAGCAAAATAAAATGAAGAATACAATCCAATGTTTTAAAAATCGACCCGAGCATCGACCCGGATAAGGAAGAGGGTCGAGGGTTAAAGGGTCGAACCGGATGACAAAATAAATACACAAATAAACTATAAAATATCATAACTATAATAGCTTTTTTAATTTTAGTTTACTAATACAAAGTAAATATAATCAATATTCGTTAATTAGATTTATTATGGTAATTTATTTTATAACCTCAAATACTAACAATTAATATGTCCAAAATAATTTATTTTGTTTAAATTAAAATTGTTTGTGATTATAATATTGTTGGAGGTTATGATTTTTTAATGAAAATGATGAAGTAGACTATTAAACACTTAGAATTGACAATTGGCTAGTATCCCACATTGGAAAATTACTACAATATTGGAAGGAGAGTCTCCTTTAAAAAGGAGCTAGTATCTCACATTGGAAGATTACTAAAACATTGAAAGGAGAATCATCTTTAAAAAGGAGCCAAAGGAAAATTTTGTAAAAAAGTTATTTTGGTCTTCTTTTGCAATAGGTGGCCCAATAAGATAGTTCAAATTTTTGGTTTTCTATTGCAATAGGTGACCCAATAAGATAGTTCAAATTTTTGTTAAAAAGAAAAAAAAGAACCAGCTAAACCGGAAAAATCGTGGCCGGTTTTCCAGTTTTTGGCTAAACTGGCCGAGTTAACGGTTTCTTGGCCGATTTTTGAATTTTCAGTTAATATACAAGTTTCGGACCGGTTTCTTGGCCGGTTCATGATTTTTTTGAACCGGCCGGTCTGATCCGATTTTAACAACATTGATACAATCCATTCCAAATTGCCTATTAAGAGATAAATCTCAAATTGAATAACTGTAAAGTTTGGTATGCATGAATGTAAATCTCTCGCATTGCCTTTGGCAAATAATTTTGTTTTGACTAAAGATCAATTACCTACTATCGATGAAGAAATTGAATACACAAGTAAAATTTCATATTCAAATGCGATTGGTTCTATAATGTATTTGATGATGTGTGCTAGACCTGATTTATCATTTAACATGAGTATAGTTAGTAGGTTTATGTCTAATTTGGGCTCCAATCTTTGGGAGGATTTGAAATGGTTGCTTGGGTACTTAAAAGGAACAAGTAATACAAGTCTAATGTTTAAATTTAGTATCGAATGTGTGCAATTAAAGGATTTTGTAGATGCGAACTTCAGGGGATAGAGAAAATAGGAAGTGTGCATCTTCTTATATGTTTACTTTATGCAATTCTTGCATTAATTGGAAATCACAACTTCAACATATTATTGCACTATCAATTGATTATATTGCTACAACTGAAACAATTAAAGAGGTTTTGTGGCTTAAAGATTTGTTCGATGAACTTTGTGTTTTAGGTGATAATGTAGTTGTATATTCAGATAGTCAATCTGCTATACATTTGTGTACAAACTCTAGTTTCCATGAGCGTAATAAATATATTTGTTTTGGACTACATTTCAATAAAGATAAATTTCTCAAGAGTTGGCAAGACACGAGAAGCTCTTTCATAATACAATCCCTCACATATGGATACTAAGGTTCTGCCCTTGATAAAGTTAAAAAAATGTTTTTAAGTTTGTTGTACATCAGTACAAGTCTGTAACTTCCAATTTATATTGGATTCTGGATTGGATAACTATTGATTGGTGTTTATTATTGATTGCAGGTAAGAATGGAAGATGCTAAAGAAGGGGGGCAAGGAGACTAGAGATTTCTCTACATGGTTTCCTTGGCATCCAGTGGAGGGTTGATAGGTCGTGAGGCCAAATAAATTTCGTGGTGATCATGAAAAATCGTGACCAGATAAAATACCTCATAGACCTACTAAATCCAGGATTGAAGACTAAATAAAAAACCCAACTCCACAAGTGACAGCCCAATACACCGGACTCTAGTCTATTGGCCGTTTGGAAGGAAAAAAAAGCCATTTGAACTGGTTACTCAATGACCTAGATCTGGTTTCTTGGATCTTGACCATTAGATTGAGGTGTCAGAAATAAGGATTTAGTGGACCAAAATGCATGCAATGAAAAGATGAGGGCTGAAGAGACAAGTGTCAAAGAAAAGAAGAAAAACGTAATAGAGAGAAACACGACTTACCTTACCAGAATTGAGTGAAGAAAGATTCGGCAGTACATCTCTCCAACGGCTCTTCACCAGCACTCCCAACGATCCTTTATTCTTGGGATTTTATTCCTTGGGTGTTTGCCTCTTAGCTGTAGGGTTGTTTGTATGTAATGTAAGTAGTTGATTTCTTGTGTATAAATAGAAGCATTAGGTGATTCTTCTGTATTGAGCTTTTCGCAATAAAAGAAGTTCGAATTCATTCTCTTCATTATCAATCTTTTGTTTTTTATCTTGGTATTAGAGCCAAATCTATGGCCAATACTCTACCTCCTGTTTCGGACTCAAGTTCCACGAACCCAGATACCACAAATCTCGGTTCAGCAACTCAAATTCCAGCTATGGGGAGTAATTTTACCCCTTTCGGAATGAATCTAACTTAGGCAGTCTCTGTTAAACTTGACAGAGATAATTTTCTGCTGTGAAAAAAAAAATGTTATAATGCCTATTGTGAGAGGCCATGGTCTTGAAGGATATTTACTAGGCACCAATGTGTGTCCCCCTCAAACTGTAGATGTTCAAATTACAACTGAGGCTGGAGTCATGGTTAGGACATCTCCTAATCCTGAATACTCTAGGTGGATATCTGTCGATCAACTACTAATGGGTTGGCTATATTCTTCAATGACATCTGATATTGCAATGCATGTAATGGGCTGTAATAGCTCAAGTGAATTGTGGAAAGCCATAGAGAACTATGGAATACTAAACAGGTCTAGAGTGACCTTTCTCAAAGCTGAATTACAAAGAATGAGAAAAGGATCCATGTCAATGAGATATTGTAATGCATGTAATGGGCTGCAATAGCTCAAGTGAATTGTGGAAAGCCATAAATGAGAACTATGGAATACTAAACAGGGCAAGAGTGACCTTTCTCACAGCTGAATTACAAAGAATGAGAAAAGGATCCATGTCAATGGACCACTATCTCAGCACTGTTAAACAGCTTGCTGATAATCTGGAAATGGCGGGAAAGAAAATAGAGCATACTGACTTGATAACTCAAGTCTTGGCTGGACTTGATGAGGAGTACACTCCAATCGTGGTGCAAGTTAACAGCAAAGATCATGTTTCTTGGCATGAATTATCTTCTATACTCATGACTTTTGAGAGCAGATTAGAGTATCTCGACCAAGTTAGAACCATTTTTGGATCAATCAATATCACCCAGAGAAACTTCCAGAGTTCAAACTCTTATGGAGGAAGAGCAAACAGAGCTTTTAGAGACTCAAATCTCAGGGGAAGAACAAGAGGCAGAGACAGGTTTGGGAGAACCAATGAGGCCAGAAATCCCTGCCAGATTTGCGGCCTGAGTAATCACACTGCTGCATGGTGTTTCAATAGATTTGATGAGAAGTTTATGGGAAAAAGGCCCATTGATCAGACCTCCAATGCATGTCCATCTGCCTACATTACAAATCCAAGTCCAATAGAGGATAAAGCATAGTATATTGACTTTGGGGCAAGCCATCATATAACTGATGATAAGGACAATATCATAGAAGCAAAGGAATACGAAGGTAAGGAAACAATGACTGTAGGTAATGGCACGTCACTACAAATCTCACATATTCGTTCAAAAGTTTTTGACAGTAAAACTGGAAAAAGACTTGTTCTAAAGAAGCTGCTGCATGTGCCTAAAATTATGAAAAACCTTATAAGTGTTTCTAAACTTACATCTGACAATTCTATCTCAGTTGAATTCTATTCTAATAATTGTATTGTGAAGGATCTATCAACAAGGAAGGCTCTAGTACAAGGGAAGCTTAGAGGGGGACTATATCAGTTGGATCTACCTTGCCATGACACAGTAAACCAGAAAACAAGTTCTATCAGTCATCATCCTACCAAATCTCAATTTATCTTTCACACCAGTTCATCTGAATCTATAAATTGTGCTCTTGATTCTCAGATTAAAGTATGGTACAGAAGACTGGGACACCCTCCTATCTCTGTTTTACTTCAGGTCTTGAAAGCTTGTAATAAACTCAATATTATCAGTAATAGAAGAACTCCTTTCTGTGAAGCATGTCAGATTGGCAAGTCACATGCCCTACCGTTCAAACTTTCTTTTTCTCACGCTAAAATGCCACTCGACCTGATTCACACTGATGTCTGGGGACCAGCTCCTATAAGTTCTACCTCAGGATATAAGTATTATGTCCTCTTTGTAGATGACTGCACTAAGTATACCTGGATCTATCCTCTAAAATATAAGTCTGAAGTTGTTCATTATTTCACTAAGTTCAAAAATCTAGTTGAAAACCAGTTCGAAAGGAAAATTAAAAGGGTTCAATCAGACATGGGGGGAGAATATAAAAGTTTGGATAAGATTGCCTTCGAATCAGGAATTGAACTTAGGTATTCATGCCCTCATACATCTGCACAAAATGGAAGGGTAGAGAGGAAACATAGACACATTACAGAAACCGGATTAACCTTACTACCCCAAGCTCATATTCCTCTCTATTACTGGTGGGAAGCCTTCTTAACTGCAACTTATCTCATAAACATAATGCCTAGCCTGACTTTACAACACAAGTCACCATATGAACTTCTGTTTAAGCATAACACTGATTATCAGTTACTAAAGGTATTCAGATGCTCTTGTTATCCCTGCCTTAGACCATATCAAAAGCACAAGTTTGATTTTCATTCCCAGAAGTGTGTTTATCTAGGTCCTAGTCTATCTCACAAAGGGTTCAAATGCCTAAGTCCTAGCGGTAGAATTTACATCTCCGGACATGTCATTTTTTATTAAAGTTCATTTCCATTTCAAACAGGTTTTCTTAATAAAAAATCCTCAGACAAAATTCTATCTATCACTTCTCATCATTTACCTTATGAAATCAATTCTTATAAACTACCCAGAACCACCACAGATTTAGCTGATATAATACCCCTCACAGAAGAACTTGCACAGAATTCCCTTGCTGAAGATGGTGGTGAAAGGATAATGGAAAATGGTGAACAATCTGATATGCAACAGATACAAGAAACTGAAAGAAATGGTACACAATCTGATACTCAGCCTGAGCTTTCAGCATCTGGAAGAGAATTGGGAGATGAGGCCTCTACATCAGAAGAACAGGCAATAGAACACCTTATGTTAACCAGATCTAAAGCAGGGATTTTTAGACCCAAAATCTTTGCTGATATTGCTACAAGTTCAATTGATGAGATCGAACCAGTGAATGTTCATGAAGCTTTGAGGAGTGAAAAATGGTGTCAAGCTATGAAAGAGGAGTATGAAGCACTGATAAAAAATAACACCTGGGTGTTGGTTCCTTCAGACGCTGATATGAAGGTGATAGGTTGTAAATGGGTTTTCAAACTAAAACATGACACTAATGGTGATAGGTTGTAAATGGGTTGTAAATGGGTTTTCAAGCAAGGTTATTGGCAAAGGGCTTCTTGCAAACATTAGGTATCGATTACTATGAAACTTTTAGCCCTGTAGCTAAGGCACCAACTCTGAAAATCATCCTCACACTTGCTGTCTCGAAAGGCTGGGAAATAAGGCAAATAGATATCAATAATGCCTTCCTCAATGGCAAGCTAGAGGAAACAGTTTTCATGGAACAACCTCAAGGTTTTATTGATCAGAATAAACCCTCGTTTGTTTGCAAACTTAACAAAGCTCTCTATGAGCTTAAACAGGCGCCCAGAGCATGGCATGACACGCTGAAAGAAACTCTGCTCAACTGGGAGTTATTGCAATCAAAGGCAGACAACTCTATATTCTATCAGGTAACTCAAGAATCTGTGATTTATCTACTTGTTTATGTTGATGATATTATAATTACTGGAAGCAGTGCTGCAAGGGTACAGAAGTTAATTGAAAAGCTGAATACAACTTTTGCACTAAAAGATAAGGGAAGATTGAGAAAATTTATGGGTATTGAATTCTACAGAGATGAAATTGGCTTGCATATGTCACAAAGCAGATATGCCACTGACGTGCTTAAAAAATTCTGCTTTGAAAATTTAAAACCGAGTATTACACCAATGGCAGCTGGGAAACTTGTTGCTAAAACTGAAGGAAAGCTTTTAGAAAATCCCACTGAGTTCAGGAGTGCAGTAGGAGCTCTTCAGTACTTAACACATACTAGACCTGATATCACGTTTGCAGTAAATCGAATCAGCTAGTACCTTCAAAGTCCGACTGATGCACACTGGAACTTACTAAAAAAGTTGTTCAGATACATCAAAGGAACACTTGAAATGGGAATAATTATCCAAGAAACACAGGACTTCAACATAGTAGCATATGGCGACGCAGACGGGGCTTCATGCCCGGATGACAGAAAATCAACTGTTGGTTACTGTGTATACCTTGGGGGTAATTTGATTTCCTGGTGCTCTGAAAAACAACAAGTTGTGGCAAGGTCCAGCACTGAGGCAAAGTATAGGACCTTGGCTCACACATTTGCAGAAATTGTGTGGATTGAGTCCTTACTACATGAACTTAACATAGCTCAAACAGAAGTTCCCAGAATCTGGTGCGATAATTTAGGAGCTAGTGCTCTAGCATCCAACCCCGTTTATCATGCCAGAACCAAGCATATTGAACTCGATGTTCATTTCGTTCGTGATAGAGTATTAGCTAATCAACTCACAATTAGTTATGTTCCAACAACAGACCAAGTTGCTGACATCCTAACAGAACCATTATTGAATTCCAGACATCTCTATCTACGGTGCAAGCTTGGAGTTACAAAGATAATCTCCAGCTTGAAGGGGGCTGTCAGAAATAAGGATTCAGTGGACCAAAATGCATGCAATGAAAAGATGAGGGCTGAAGAGACAAGTGTCAAAGAAAAGAAGAAAAACGTAATAGAGAGAAACACGCCTTACCTTACCAGAATTGAGTGAAGAAAGATTCGGCAGTACATCTCTCCAACGGCTCTTCACCAGCACTCCCAACGATCCTTTATTCTTGGGATTTTATTCATTGGGTGTTTACCTCTTAGTTGTAGGGTTGTTTGTATGTAATGTAAGTAATTGATTTCTTGTGTATAAATAGAATCATTAGGTGACTCTTCTGTATTAAGCTTTTCGCAATAAAAGAAGTTCGAATTCATTCTCTTCATTATCAATCTTTTGTTTTTTATCTAGGGTTGATGAGATAATGGTGGGCATTGGGGATACTAGTGCTCTAGTGGAGAGTTTATTATTTGAATTCTTTCATCACTTCATCTGAACCTTTCGCTACTCTCTCGCTTGATCCTCTCATCTCTTCTCGCTACAATTGTTCTTCATCTCTTTGTAAGATTTCCTCTTTCTTCTCTCTTTGTGAGATGTTACATTCTTTGTGCGTGATTGTTGGTGAGGAAACTGTTGGTTTCTTCGTGATTTCATTTACTGTAGCAACTAGCCTATATTTGTGACTTTGGAGTTACCTTGTGTGAGAAGGGTTAAACTGAGCATTTCCATTGTTGTGGTCACCTTGTTGGTGAGAAACCGTACAGATCAAGCTCCGGTCCGGTGGTAAAAGTTCGAACAGTCTAGTCGAATTTTGGAGCAGATTGAAGTCTATGCGTTTGGTTTTTATTTCTGGTAGTGTTAAATCTCATGTGTTAAGGTTGAACTTTGTACTAGAAGGCCAATTGATGTTTTGATTGAATATTATTAAAATCCTCCCACTTATTTGCGCACCTATTGATTGAGAGTCTAGAATATGATTGTGGGTGGTTGTTTGATTTTTCGCTAGTATACGGCATTGAGAACAAGTAATAAAGTGAAGAGTAAAATATCGTTCCCTCGAGGACCAGATACTTAATCTAATGTTAATCAATTGTAACTCTAATCGAATAGCCAAAGTTGTTTGAATGATTTATATTAATTAACTAATTAAACTAACAATTCTAGTGATCAAATTATGAAGTTTTTTAAAATTTAGATGAGAATGTTACCAAGATCTCGAATCACCCTTATTAATACATCTAGATGCAATTCAGTAACGTGTTAATATGTGTACATTCCCGTTGATCAATATTTTGAAGTTAATTAAAAGCATATTTCGATGTCAATTAAATCTATCATTTCATGATATATTCTTATGTCTCTATGAAAGATACGAACATAAAATCATACATTAAAAACGCTAGAACATCTATAAAAATCATGCAAAATATAGTGATATATCTCTATGTCCTATCAAACTTTGTAATAATTGTTATAGCGTGCTATCTATCCTATTTTCTCTCCCGTGAACAATAAAATTCACAAATCAATCAAATTAGTGATCAAATAATTTAAAAGCATTAAAAACAATAACAAACACGCACAAATAAACACATATTAGGCGTCAAATTATTGAAGTTAATTAAAAACTTTATAACAAGGATTCATGTTTAATTGGAAGAATAGAACCCAGATTTTAGATTGAAACCCTAACCTAGCATTACAAAATTACAAGAAAACATGTTTAATTGGAAGAATATAACCCAGATTTTAGATTGACGAATGAGAAGAAGATGGATCTTGAAATCTTCAATATCTTCAATAGATTCTTGATGAATCTTCAATATATCTTCTTGTTGTCTCTCCAAAAATCAAGATTGAAACTCCAATTTTTTGAAAACTTGTAATTGTCTTTTAAATCTCACAAAAATAATGAAATTGACCTCTCTTTAATGGTTGATAATAGATGAATTTTGTGGTATGAGAGGCTTCTTCAATGTTTGTCCATGTTTTGTATATAGAGGGTGAAATTAGGTCAAGAATTACGTTCAAATTGAATTCCAAAAGAGTTTCATTTAAATAAGAAAAGTTGCATTCGCTTCGTGCATAAATGTCTCTGCGCATCCATTGGTATTTCATCATAAATTTCTTTTTCGACGTCCGATTGAGGAGATTTAAAGTGCATTGGAAAACTAAATCAAAGGGATATAATTTTCTTAGAAATAACATTTTTCCAATTCGAATATTTACTATGTCAAAAATAGGTCTCAATCTCTGACTGCGAATTTGGATCGATGAAAATACATTGATTATATTTTAATGCTTCACTCATTTGACTTCTAATTGCATTTAATTGATCCCCTCTTTATCTTCAATCAATGTTTTGTGATTCGAATCAACTATTGAGCATTTATAATTTAGTCCCTGAACCTTTGATTTCTTCATTTTTCATCGGTTTTCACTTATTTCTTCTAATTTCACTTTCGATTATAGAGTTTTACCTAACAAACGAAATATACAAGAAACTAGGTCATAATTAATCAAAAGAACTTTTAAATGTCCATATAAAAACCTAGATGAGAGTATCAGCAAACAACTTATTTGAATTGAATTTTTTTTCCTGATTCTTGGATCTATTGAAGCATTAAAATATTAAGGTATATTTTAATGTTTTATTGCAATTGACTTCTACTTTTGCCAATTTTGGATTCCTTGGTTGTGTTGCATCTTTTTTAATTAGTTGATATTTGATTCTTGGATTACATAGTATGTCTGCTCAAATATGTTGTTAGGCCCTGTTTGGTTTAACTCAAAAAGTCAATCATTAATTTTAACGACACATTTAATGAAACTCACAACTTTACAAAACAATCAATCAAATGAACTCATCCCTATCAACCACTCTAAAATTTAATACAAATTAACATGAAAAACGGAATTCATAACAAGGTAAACAATATGCTACTATGTGCGTGTAACAAACTTTTCTTAATGCTTTTGTGTTCTCTTTTGATACTTGTCTTTGATCCAGTGAAAACCAGCGGTGGCGCCGGTCTTCACTTTCCTCATGCCGGTGACGGCCACCGAACCCCCAGTCTTCACTTTCCTCATGCCAGTGATGGCCACCGCCTTTGTTTTATCCAACTTGTCGCCGACCTTGCCGGAAAATTTGGAAGAACCACCAGTTTTGGTGTTGCTGGTGTAATTGTACATAGGCTCTGGATCCCATTGATCAGCCCATGAGGTTTCATATGAACTGTTTGATGCCATTGATACAAGTGTCGATAGAGAGAGAGAGAGAGAGAGAGAGAGAGAGAGATTTGTTTACAGGCTGTTGTTTGAAGAGATTACAACATGGAATTGGCCTTTTATATGGGAACTTCAGAACAAGGTTCCAACATGACGGCGGGACGAGCTATGATTCCTCGAAATGCAGCATTTTGAAATGGAATTATGCTTTTCCTTTTCTACAAGTAATAAATAAGTCTTTTAGATAATTTTTTATTATATAATCATGTTTGGATGAACTTATAACTTAAGAATAATTCCATTTTTATTGCTAAATTTGTGCAAGGTCTGCGTGCGTGGGAGATCGGTAGATCTTAAAAGACGAAATAAATTACTCAGATGAACTTTTCACCTAAAAAAATTGTGATCCACTTATTTGGCAAACATGCTCTAATGTCATTCACTTCTCTAGCTTTCATCTCATATTGCAACTGTTGGCCAACNAAAAAAAAAAAAGAAAAAGAAAACAAATAACCATATCGAATACCATTCGTTTGGCTTCGTTTCCCCAAACCCTATCATACTCCAATTTGATAGTTTTCAATAAATTAACCAAATTAATACTGGTTGCAAATCCACGTGATAAAAAAAAAAAAAAATTATTTTTGACCAAAACAAACAATTTTATTCATCTTTCCAAGATAAACCGCGCTTCCGCGGAATTAATAAGAAGGATTAATATGTTATTTAAGTCAAATTTGGGCTCCTCTAACCAAAAAAGAAAAGAATATAACTCTACGCGTTCAATTCTAGTATAAAGGCAGAACATATAAATTAGAATATTCTAATGATTTTTTATTTTTTTCCATTGGTCAAATCAAAATTTTATAAAAAGTCTCACTTTCCATTATACATTAGAAATCTCATGTATAATAAACTATTAATAATTGGATAAGAATTCCACATATTTTTGTTTCTAGAAATAGCTTTTTTGACTTTCAAGTGCTTATTGATGTTTCTCGATCCATCTAGAATTAAAATCCTTCCAGATATATAGACTTCTTTGGATTTTATTTTCTTTCCAAGATGGACCCACTTCTGTGAAATAATTGACGCTCATATTTATTAATTTCTATAAATACTTCAATTATTTTTTATTCTTATTTTTCGAGTGATATTCAAGTCTTTGAATTATTAGCAAGATAAAACTATCTTATCGTAATTGGTAAATGTTGACAAATAAAATCAACAAGATCTTCAACATATCTCGAAATGATGCTTCTTTTGAGCGAATTTGTTCTTGGTATACATTTTGAATCACTCACAATAGTTACTGCTCTCACTTGTCTTATCTGTCCTTTCACTACCGCAATTTGAGACGACTAGATAGATATATTTTTTAAAGATAGCCTGTTCGAACTGATAGTACTTACTTATATCTATCCCTTTATAATTTAAGCAGTTTATAAACATTTTCCTACTAAAAAAGAAAACAATATAATTCTCGGTGTTTCAGTTTCACTATAGTATAATGTGACGGTGAAATGGCAGCAAAAATAAATGACAATAATCTTATTTTATTTTCTTTCTTAAATTTGAGCATTTATGCTTGTGAATTTTTTTTTTTTCAAATTCAACAAAATAATCAATATATGAGTTTGAGCTAAGTAACTATGCTTTCTCCAGAAAAATTTAATGCCAATTATTGTTTTAGAGGGTTAATTCCCTATATGGTCACTGAACTTAAAAACTGTCATGATTAGTTTTTTAACTTTGAAAATTGGTACTTCGTCCATCATTGCATAAATGACGCTTGTAAAATTGGAAGGATTTGATGATGACCCTTTTTTTTCCCCCACAAATCCTTGTTTAACAGTTAATTATAAATTATTTATAAATACTCAAGCTATTTTTTATTTATACATTTCAAAAAATTCCTAAATATTATTCATTTTATATTCATCTCTTATTCATATCTATTTATAAGGAACTTCACAAAAATTGAAGAACAGAAATTCGAGAAACGTGTCCACTTCAAAACTTGATTAAAAAAAAAAAAAAAA